CTTTTTCCCCAAGTGCTACATTATCATCCTGAGGCCAGATCTAAACACTAAAGAACAGCTCATGATAAAACTGGGGAAATAATATTAAAATTTCTTCTTAGTTTCATGATATTTAATGGTTAAAATTCTCAAGCAGCTCATAACGGACAGGATAAGAAATGTGACACTTATATTAACAAAGAGAGATGCAGAAAAGATGAAAGTCAACTCCCCCCCAAAAGAGAATGGAGGGTTTTTTTTTTTTCCTTACGTGGGGGGAATATGGAAATCTAAGTCTGTGTGAACAAGCTCTCTTTGTCTCTATGACTTACTCTTGAAAGTAGATGAGGGTAGTAGAGCTGGGTGTCAAGGATGTGAAGATTACCTTCCCAGTGGCAACACTTGGGATGACCTTCCCAAGTTACTTCTGTATTTGTTTGGTAATGTCATAATCCTTGTGGAGCCTCAGAATTCCATGATTTCCGTGCTGCCTCATCACTCTCTTAATACCCTTTCTGGACATGTTCCCAAAGAACTGAGCCCACCACAAAATATCACCTGTAAGACTCAGCACTCTCTTTCAAAAATTGATTTGACGATTCCACTTTTCTTCATTTAGCCATGATTTATTCTTTTTAATTTTTTTAAGAATAAATTACATTTTAAAAGACATATTTCTTTTATTCTATTAGTTATTAGGATAAAAATGTAATACGGAAACTCTACCCAGTAGGACAGTAATTTTTTTGACTTCATTAAACATTGGAAAGCTGCTCCCCTCAAAAATAGTCAGATCTCACTCAAAATGCATATGAAAAAAATTTGTAGGGCTCTTCAATTAATATGGCTGCCATGCTGCTGAAATAAGACTAAAGCATTAGCTTGGGAAAACCAGAACTGGTTTTGTTTCTTCAATATCAATGTGAACTATCCAATAAAGTTTTACATTTGGGGGGGGAAAAAGACTAAAGATCACCACATACTTTCCAGAACTGAAGTGAAGTGAGATGTAGGTTTGGCTTGAGAATGTGTCCCTCAAAAAGTGTAAGTCAGGCATCTTTTGCTGCAGTATATGAGACATGAATATGTTGTGGTCCACCGGCAGCTGGAGGAGCTGGCAGCAGAGTCAGACAGTGAGGAGGTTGGGGAGGAACATGGACCAGTCTTGGAGTCTGGGGAAGGCTCGGACGAGTGCTCTGCATTGGAAGCAGAGATGGGGCCAGGGCCATCTGGGAGTTATATACTGCCTCTGGAGCCTGCAGAGTCTAAAATCAGCAAGGCAGAGGAACAGGGGAGCCTGTTCCCAGAATGTGCATGCGCAGAGCTGCCAGAAGGCAAGAATGGTTATGACAAAATAGGCAATTCGGGAGTAAAGCTTGGAGATGATTGGCCCGTCCCATAAGACATAAAGGAGGAGCAAAGACATGTGAGCCTTTGCAGGAAGCAACTTTGTTCTGGTCAGTTTAAACTCTGAAGCTCCAACTTTAGTCTGTGCTCTGTTTGGCCTTGCAAAGCTAATTGGCAATTAAATGTTTGGCAGTGCTTCAAGGGAGATAAAGGTGGGTGCTCACTAGCCTTATCCTGAAAAACTGTAGCAGACTTCTGTCGGACTCTTTGCAAACTATTTTTTTATTATTATTTTTTATTACACAGACAACAATGGGAAAGGGAGAAAATGGAAAAAAGGGGGGGGAGGGGAAACCCATCTTCACATACAATATGTCGTTTGATCACAGGTGCATCCCTACTAANTGCATCAGTTTGACAATTAAAATTATTTAAAACTAAGGGAAATAAACATAAGAAGTATGTAAAACTAATCAAATTAAATCCCAATGTAATCAATAAACAGTAAAATAAAGGAATTAATGGTTAAAATTCTCAAGCAGCTGGTAAAGGACAGGATAAGAAATGTGATACTTATATTAACAAAGACAGATACAGAAAAGATGAAACCCCCCTCCCCTCCAAAGGAGAATGGAGATTTTTTTCCCCTTAGGTGGGATGAATATGGAAATCTAAGTCTGTGTGAACAAGCTCTCTTTGCCTCTGTGACTTACTCTTGAAAGTAGAAGAGGGTAGCAGAGCTGGGTGTCAAGGATCAGCTGATTACCTTCCCATTGGCAACACTCGGGATGACCTTCCCCAGTTACTTCTGTATTTGTTTGGTAATGTCGTAATCCTTGTGGAGTCTCAGAATTCCATGATTTCAGTGCTGCCTCATCACTCTCCTAATACCCTTTCTGGACATATCCCCAAAGAACTGAGCCCACCACAAAAAATCACCTGTAAGACTCAGCACTCTCTTTCAAAAATTGATTTGAGGATTCATCTTTTCTTCATTTAGCCATGATTTATTCTTTTTTTTTTTTTTGGGAATACATTACATTTTAAAAGACATATTATTTTTATTCTATTAGTTATTAGGATAAAAATGTAATGCGGAAACTCTACCCAGTAGGACAGGAATTTTTTTGACTACATTAAACATTGCAAAACTGCTCCTTTCAAAAATAGTCAGATCTCACTCAAAATACATATGAAAAAAATTCTTAGGGCTTTTCAATTAATATGGCTGCCATGCTACTGAAATAAGTCTAAAGAACACCACATACTTTCCAGAACTGAAGTGAAGTGAGATGTAGGTTTGGCTTGAGAATGCGTGCCTCAAAAAGTATAAGTCAGGCATCTTTTGCTGCAGTACATGAGACATGAATATGTTGTGGTCCGCTGGCAGCTGGGGGAACTGGCAGCAGAGTCAGACAGTGAGGAGGTTGGGAAGGAACATGGGCCAGTCTTGGAGTCTGGGGAAGGCTCGGACGAGTGCTTTGCGTCAGAGGCAGAGAGGGGGCCAGGGCCGTCTGGGAGTTATATACTGCCTCTGGAGCCTCCAGAGTCTAAAATCAGCAAGGCAGAGGAACAGGGGAGCCTGTTCCCAGTATCTGCATGGGTAGAGCTGCCAGAAGGCAAGAACAGTTATGACAAAATAGGCAATTCGGGAGTAAAGCTTGGAGATGATTGGCCCGTCCCGTAAGACATAAAGGAGGAGCAAAGGCATGTGAGCCATTGCAGGAACCAACTTTGTTCTGGTCAGTTTAAACTCTGAAGCTCCATTTTGAGTCTGTGCTCTGTTTGGTCTTGCAAAGCTAATTGGCAATTAAATCTTTGGCAGCATTTCAAGGGAGATAAAGGCGGGTGCTTACTAGCCTTATCCTGAAAAACTATGGCAGACTTCTGTCGGACTCTTTGCAAACTCTTTGTGATTCATTAAGAGCTGGGAATGAACATAATTCATAGCCATTGTAATAAAAAGAGGGTTTTGGGGACTAAGGGTGTGATTTTTACTGCCTCAGGAAGCCTAGGTCCGAACAGAATATGAGCCCAATGTGGGGAAGAAATATTTTAAAGATCCAGCTAGGCATCCAAGAAAATGTCCTTTTTGTTGAAGAAGTACAATTAACTGACACCAACCAGCATGGAAAGACAAAACCAGATTTATTATTAGTTAAATATGGAGCTTACTTTTTGCCCAAAGAAACTTAAAGTAGAAAACAATAAATTTAAACTAGTTGCATTCAAGAAGAAAAAGAGCCATGCTCTGTATCATGAAGAATTGTCGTCTGGAATCACATGTTGGGCATGGCTGAATCAGCTTAAAACAGTGCTTCTTGCTCCACCATCTAAAGGACACTGGGGCAATAGTACTGAAGCCTTCAAAGCCATCTGAGAAAAAGCATAAGGGTTCTGCTCCCCACATTGAATTCTTAGTGAAGCTCATCCACCTTGGTGACTAGCCTTAGCTTACCTTAAATGTGTTTTATGACTTTGGAAATCAGAAATAGACACGAATATATATTACATACCTTGTTGAGCAACTTTATACAAGACAGAGCATCTTGGTTGAAAATCAGCCTCTGGCTTTCAAAACTCCCTAGTTGAAGTTTATGG